AACAAAAATAACATGATACCGGCACAAAAATAGATATGTAGATCAATGGAGTGGAATACAAGACAGAAACAAATCCCTGCCCCTTCAATCATCCAATTTTTGATAAATGAGCCAAAAACTTATGCTGGAAAAAAAGAACCTATTTAACAAATAGTGCTGGGAAAATTGGTTATCCATTTGCAGAGAAATGAAACTAATATTTTCTTATGTCCAGCTGTGTTATTTAAGTAAAGTTGACTTTAAATAATGAACTGAAATTATTCCCTCTTCACATAGTTTTGAGGGCATTTGAACAGGATTGGCATCAATCCTTAAGTGTTTGATAGAATTTAGGAGCAAAGCTATCGGATCTTGACATTTTGGGTTGTCTGGTGTTTAATTACTGAATCAATCTTTTTTACACAACATTGGTTTGTTCACATTTTCTATTTTATAGTTTAGTCTTGGTAGGTTATAATGTGTCCAGGATTTTTCTATTTCTTCCATATTATCCGAGTAGTTGTTGCATAAATTGACGATAGTTACAGCATGATATTTGGGGTTTCTCTGGCATCATTTTTAATGTCTCTTCTTTCATTTATAATTTTATTTACTTGAGAGTTTTCCGTTTTTCTTAGTTTGGGTAAAGTTTTGTCACTTTTTTCGATTTTTTTTAAATAGTAAATTTTTAATCTAGGTTTTTTCTAGTGTTTTTCTAGTCTCTGCTTCATTTCTTTTTGCTCTGATGTGATTATTTCCTTCCTTCTGCTAACTTTTGGCTTGGTTAGTTATTTTTCTACTTTCTGGAACTGTACAGAAAGATGTATTTATTCAGTTCTTTCAATTTTTTTAATGTAGAAGTGTACTGCTATCAACTTCCTTCTTATAACTGCTTCTGCTCTATGGCATAATTTTTGGTGTGTTCTAATTCTATTTTTGCTTATAAATTTTTTTAAAATTTTACTTTGAAGTTTTCGTTGATCCATTGGTTGTTTCTGTGTTCCTTAACTTACACATGTTAGTGTGCTTTCTAGTTTTCTTCCTGTTATTTATTTATAGTTTATAACATTGTGATCAGGAAGATACATGGTTTCAGTATTCTTCAATTTTTAAGATGTGTTGTGATTTATTACATGTTATAATCTGAAGAATGTTCCCTATCTACTTGAAAAGAATGTGTATTATGCTGTTATTGGATAGAAGAATCTATAGGTTTCTGTTACATTCATTAAGTCTAGAGAGTCATTCAAGTCTTCTACTTCCTGATTGATTTCATTCTGGGTTATTTATCCATTGCTGAAAACAGGGTATTAGAACCTTACTTTTATCACATTGTTGTTTACTTCTCCCTCAGTTCTGTTAGTATTTGCTTCATATACACTATTTGCTTACTCCAATTTTAGGAGCATATGTATTTACAGTTTTCTAATTGTATTTATAAATTTACCCTTTTGTTAATATGTAGTGACATTTTTAGTCTGTGGTGACAAATTTGGCTTAAAATGTACTTTGTCTTAAAATCTTTTTGTCTGAATATATATATATATATATATATATATATATATATTCTTTTTATGAAATTTCAGTGAAATTATTTCTTTCCATTTCTTCACTTTCTACCATGTACCATTAAATCTAAACTGAGTGTGCTGTAGGCAGCGTATAATTGAAACTTTCTTTTTTATCCATTCAGCCACTGTATATGTTGAATGTCATCTAATGTGATAATTTAATTAATTTACATTTAAAGTAATTATTGGTAGGCAAGGACTTATTTTGTTACTTTTTTCAGATTATTTTATTGTTTCTTGGTTATTCTCTTCCTCTTTTGTTGCCTTTGTCATTCGATTTTTTCTACTTGTTTGTATGCTTCAATTCCTTTCTTTTTCATGTACAGATCAATTACAGCATTTCGTGATTACTATAAGACTAACATAGACATCTTATAATACTCTATTTTAAATGGATAATACCTTAATTTTGTTGTACACAAAATTATAATTCACTCTTCCCCAAAGTGAAAGCTACAATAAAATGTAAACACTTTGAATGGATTCAGGACATTGAGGCAGCCACAACAGCAAAACTAAAGACACCCATGAAAGAAGACTTCCTGAACTGTTTCAGAAAGTGGCAAGAATGATGGGACAAATGTCTTTGAAGTTTCTATCTGTTGTCTGTCAAGGACTTGAGTGACACATCAAACATCAGTTTCCCTCTATTTTCCTTGATTAAGTTCTAGGGTGTATAAGCCAAGTAATTTTACTTTTCATCCAAGTATGGTTATGTAAACCAGAAACCTGGAATTTATCAATGGCAAAAGCCCCTTGACATTAGTAACTCTACATACTCAAGGTATGATTATAAAAATGTATCTTGATTCCCTTCCTAAGTTTTTACTCCAATTTATCATTATCATCTCTTTCTTAAACCTCCTAACTGCTCTGACTGTATTCCTTTTTATAATCTTGTATTAACTTCATTGTAGTCAAAAAAAATTATTTTTAGAATGTCAATCTTCTCTCATCCACAGCACTACTTAAACTTCCCAGTGGTTTTATTACTTGAATTATTAAAAACAATGTATTTTACATAGTTTAGAAGGTTCTGTATGATCTGGCTTCTGCGTACTTCAACTTTTTAAAAATACAGTTCTCTTCCCTATATGTGCTCCAGCCCCTCTTTCACTTTCTCCAACAACCACACTCCTTCCTGTTTTAGGGACTTAGCTCCCACATCCTTCTCCCCAAAATAATCTCCTTTCATTAAACTTATTTATACTAATCTTTTAGGTCAAATTTCATATTCTCAGGAAGATCTCATTAATAGTCCAGAATTGATCTCTGTGATATAGTTTCATAAAAATTGTATACTTTGTTCTCCATAAAAAGCACAACTTAAAAAATATTTTTCTCCCCAGAAGACTATATTCCCAAGAGAGGCAGGGTCTGTGTGTGTTTTCCTCACAAGTGTAACCATCTCCAAAGCTTGGCATAATGTCTGACAAATGATAAATGAACAAGTGGACCATCATTTGTGTGCAGGCACGAATGGATGACTGTTTCATTTGCTGTTTGATGCAGATTCTGTATTTTGAGTTAGGGGAGAGATAATCAAAACTAACCTCTATCACATAATAATTCCTCACAGATTCCAAAGTCAAGTTATTCCAGTATTCATTTACGCTTTTGATGTTTTTCTCTTTTGAGATATTCATTAATTGTGAAAGTATAGCAGAAGCTGCACTTGGAGAGCTGCTAAACTTATACTATTTCGCACAGTAGCAATTAGGACTTCTTTCATGTAGCTATTATTTCTTTTTTTTTTTTTTTTTTTTAAAATCGGGGTTTTATTCCTATACTTTTCTTTTTTTTTTTTTTTTTTTTTTTGGTTTTTCTCCGGTACCGGGAACCGAACTCACGACCTTGCGCTTGCCAGGCAGGCGATGTAGCTATTATTTCTAACACCATTTGATATATAATACATTTTACTACATGGAACTCTCATTAGCACCCTGTTCTTCTACATGCAGGGGCTTTAGCATTATATTCTCTATCTTGTGTGAAAATTATTGTGTTGCCATGGTTAAAATTATTGTACATTTCTTGTGGTTTAATAGCCATTTATGTAAGAAATCTCTGCTTTCAATTGCTGTTTTCAAGTTTTTAAACTTTTCTCACATATTTATGCTTCCAGATGAGACTAAATAATTGTCTAGCTCCTAAATCACTTCTTTTGGAATTTTAATTGGGATTATGTTAAATAGATTTAATAGGGAAAGTATTTATCTAATTTTAATGTTTTTTTCTTCATTTATATTCAGTTCTTCATTTGTATCTCTCTATTAATTTTTACTGATTTCTCCACAATAATCCTATCAAATTTTGTTGGTGCTACTTTATGTCCCTGTTTATTTTGTGTAGAATATTTTTTGTCTGCTGGTATTGCCTTTAATTGGTTGTTGGTATAATCCGATTTTGTTTCTATTGTAGGGAATCTTTAAAAAAAGTTTTTGACACTTGTTGCTTAGTTATGTAGTATCTACTATTTAAAGAACTCCACCTGGTAATTACATAATTTCATACTTTTAATAGTGATGCTTTTATTTATCTTTCACATTACCAAGGTGAACAGAATGTCTGGAACTACAATGCATTGATTATGTGCACTACTCAGCGCCTTTTCTTGTGATTCACCTTCAGGAATGATGCTGACTATGATGAACTTCAAAAGAATTTATTACCTGTTTTGTAAAATTTTCTGTGCATAGTTTAAAATAAAGAATGTTTTTGAATTTTATCAAGTTCTTTCTATCTATTCTCTTTATAGAGAAATAGTTCTTGAATTTTTGAGTTACTGTTATTGCTTTCTAAGTCCTGTATCTTTATTTTCTCTCTACCTGTTTTGATTTGTGATATTGTTTTATTTATGAATTTTTGAAGCTAAATGCTTGCTGAATTTTATTAAAATGATAGTATTTAAAGATATGGGTTTGATTGGGTCATTTTGTCTATAAAAATTGAGTAATAATCACTATCAGCAAATGATAAGTAGCATCAGGAACAATAATTTTTCTCTTAACATAAGTAAAAGAATCAATAGTACTGTCTCTCTTGATATGGAGTTTATACTCTCAGACTAGTAAGGATCAGAACATGAATTTCTTAAATGTCAAAACATCTTTTCCAAGCTTAGTCCTCAGTGACCTGTTATAGGTGTTGATTTTTTTTTTGAAAAAGAAAAAAGTATTTAAACATTTTAAACTGCTGTGGGCCTAACAGCTCTTCATATATAGTTAAATATACATTAAAGAACAATTATGAGATATATGTATGAAAGAGTAACTGTTATTATATCAAAAGTGGATAAAATAAATGATTATGATATAGAAATACATGCACATGGCAATGGAAATGGAACTAAGCTCATAATTTTAGAGCTGTCTCAGGGACCCAGAAGCTAAATAAGTATTAGCAATTTTCAGAGTAAGTATACTTAAAGAGATGAAAATTTAAAAATAGTTGAACATATTAAAATTTAATATAGAATTTTAGAATTCATGGAACCTTAATCCTTGTAGCACTCACCACCTATACAGCTTTATGTATTTCACATTACAGGTATCAATGAGAAAGAGTAACTGCATAAGTAATAACTTCCTCCTGAAAATTCATCACATATAAGTCAAATTCATTATAGAGCACCTAACAGAAATGCAAAGATGAAATTTCTGAGTTCAGGAAAGGCATACAAAATGAAAAACAACAATGTTAAAAGATTTTACATGTTTTCCATAAAAATATCAAAATAAATTTAAATATTTAAAATTTTCAACATGCTTTGACTTAGGATTTCATGAAGAGCTTGTTTTATATAAGTATAGTTGACTGAATTGTCCGGATGTTAGCTGATGTATTCATTGTGCTTTCACAGCTCTAAACTTTATAAAGTTAAAAAAGATAATGAGTATTTAATTTCAAATAACAAGCAATGTCAGCTAATCTAAAATTTGGCAATTGCTTGAAGTGGTTAATATTTTTGTAATTTTCTTTTCTACTATAAACAATAGAGTAAATGCATTAGTAAATTTTTGCATTTTCCATAGCTGAAGTTATATTGTAAATCTCTGACTTCTTATAACCAAGGATACTCTTTATTTGTTGTCTCTCACTCTTGACAGATCTTGGTCTCAACAATAAATTCATTGGGGAAGTGTCTAATCTTCCAGCACTTATCAATGGCACGCTTGTTGAAACCTGGGAGGAATGTAAAAAAGTGACTTTTGAATTTTTGATGTATATGAAAAAAATGCATAAACTTGCTCTCCACTTTTCTTTGCACTCTAACCTCACTCTCGTTTATCATCCCAATAGCAAGGCAATGAAGGAATGAACTGCTTACCTAGCAAGAGGTCTCTGCGACGAAGGCGGAAGGATTTTCTTTTGTTGCAAAGTTGATAAATAAAGATGCCTAGATTACTAACATCACGAATTTGTTCAACAGCAACAAGGTCTTCATGAACCACATAAGTATGAGGCAAGTGTTTTCTGCTCTATAAATGAAAAAAAAAACGCAACAAGAACTTAAAGATATTTAAGCTCTTACCTGTAATATGTACAGTTTTTAAAAATATACTTCACTTTAATTTTAGATTCACAGCATGTTTATTACTTAGTTTTATTTTTGATTCACACCTAAATACTAATGAATTTTAGTGTAATATTTCCACACACTCATACAGTGTGGGCTGATCAAATGAAAACTCACTTGATCCATTGGCCCCCTACTCCCTTTCCAACTTGTATTAATCTTTGCAACTATTTGATATTCAAGTGATTGGTTTTTAACTTTCACATGTGAAAGGAACAAGAAGTACTTGTCTTTCTGTCTGTCATATTTTGCTTGATGTAATGTCCTCCGTTCCATGCATTTTGCCAGAGCATACTTTTTTATTCAAAAATATTTGATAAATCAGACCCATATGTGTAAACATCAGGTTGTCTCACTAGTGTGAGAAAATGAATGAGTACATAAGGCACAAAATGTATGTAGATATTGTGAATTGGGAAGAAACTATTCAAAAGAAAAGACAAACTGTGATGGGGAAAAGGGAAAGGCAGAAAGCAAAAAAGAAATGTATATATATATATATTCACATGGAACTCTCATTAGCACACTGTTCTTCAACATGCAGGGGCTTTAGCATTATATTCTCTATCTTGTGTGAAAATTATTGTGCTGCCATGGTTAAAATTATTGTATATTTCTTGTGGTTTAATAGCCATTTATGTAAGAAATCTCTGCTTTCAATTGCTGTTGTATATACACACACACACACACACACACACACACACACACACACAAAATAGTTAAGGTTGTTCTAGAGCTAGTTTCTCCTAGTTCATTGAAAGCACTCTGCATAACTACTACAAAGATAACAATACACAAACTATCAACTATTGCAACTGTCCTACTAATTTGTTTTGAAACTCAGTTTCACTGTTATGCTTATCCTTTTCCTCTTTAAAAATTAAAAAAAATCAAAGAAGTGAAATATTTTGGCTGAACTCATTAATTTTCAGAAATAGGAAGCAAAATTATTTGCAAATGCTCATAGAAAAAGTGCCTTTCAAAATACGTACTGCAAGTTTGCTAAAGAGTTCCACCAGATTCTTTGGAGGCATAACAATGGAGGTATTCAGAGGCATCAGAAAGCAGTTCCCCAGGAGCATGTCTAGGTAAGCAGTCATTCCCTGTTGGAGAAGAGGAAAAAATTGGGCAAAATAAGAAGTAGAGAGATAGAGCTTTCTCAAAGAGGCAGGGGATCCAGAGAAGGAGGAAGGGGGAAGACGGAGAAAGGAGATGAAAAAAGTAATTAAGATGTATTATGAACAACTCTGCACAGGAAATGTACACATTATGTACTACAATCATGTACTAATAAAGACAATGATCTGAAAAAAATTGAAAATGGACAACATAAGAGATCAACACTACAGATTTTCTGACCAACATTAGAATAAACAGCTATATTTTTCAAATTTAACTAAAGAGCATGCAATAGCAAAACGATGAAAAGGCTTTGCCTCAAGTAATATATAATTATGAATGGACTTAATATTTGCCACAAACTAGAAAAAAAAAAAGAATTCTAGAATACCTCTAAGAATGAAAAACCCACCTTTTCGAAGTCATGAATGATAGCTGCAGGGTCACTATCAGAGAAACTGGGAACAGTCACATCAATGATTGCAATGTTGTCATCCTCCCGAATGTCAGCCTCCTCAGTCACAGATAGGAAGTAAGGCTCTCCTCCACGAAAGGAATTTACAGGGTCCACAGCAACAAAGAAACACATTTCTCCACGGTAAATGGTGTTCTGAAAGGCAAGAGGAAAAGTCCAAACCTTCTAATATCAGTACTATGACATTTGAATAATTTTATGCACTCATTAATTTATTGTATTGTGTGTTAAGCTGAGGTTTGTTGTTTACAATTGTCACTATGAAGAAAAATCAGTCATATGAACTGAAACATAATTTGAAAACTTTCGTCCAATCCTCATTTCTCTAATGATTACCAAAGAATTATTTAAATTGACACTAAATGTATAATAATGTCATTCAAAATATAATACTTATAATTACTATTACCTTGGGCATGAAGTATTTGTAAATGCAGGCTCCACCAACAGTAAGTCCTGCCAAGATGAATGAAAGGCCTAGGAGAGTAAGCATACATCTCCCAGAGGTGCCCTCATTTGCTTGGGTGGCAACTTGGAGCTCCTATTTTTTAAAAAGCAAAAGGAAAAACAAAACTAGATTGTACTTTTAGACAGTTGCTACTTCATACAATTTATTTCCTTTGAAACCCAAGATATTTAAAAAGGTAGCAAGCCACCCTAGTATAAAATCATTTCAATACAAGTTCTGATATCTAATAGAGGTGACAAAATCTCCAAATACATTAACCTTCTTTTGGCATTTCCAAACTCTAATATAGATATGAAATCACTTCAAAATATGCACTCTTAGAATCACATGAAAATAGGCATTCAGTTATGCAATGTTACATTCTCTTTCTATTTCAAAACACTTAACATGGCATCCACTGTCAATAAATTTTTTATGTATTATATAGTATTGTTAACTACCATATAGGCATGATGTGGTACAGCTACAGAGCAAAAATTTTGTTTTTTAAAAAATAAACTGAAATAGTTACCTTTTAGACTTCACCAACTTTCTGAAATATAATTATTCTTCATTACTATTTTTTAAAATCAATTCATTTGCCAACTCAAATAAATTCACCAACTTTCTGAAATATAATTATTCTTCATTACTATTTTTTAAAATCAATTTATTTGCCAACTCAAAGGATAATTAGTATATTTTGATTTGTGAACTAACTTTCAAAAGGATGTTTTTCCAAAATTAACCTGTAAAGGAAGGAGTTCTATGAGGGGATATATATGCCATTTTCTCTTATTTTAGAAATTAAAAAACTGAAGAAAGATTTGTGCTTCTTAATGTCACCTAGTATTTTATAGGTGTGTTTTGCTTGAAAGAAACAGAGTTTTAGAAGACCTGGGTTAAAAACTAGATTTTATTTTTTTTTTATTTTATTTTTTTATTTTATTTCTTTTTGTCTTTTTGAGACAGGGTCTCGCTATGCAGTTCAGGCTGGCCTTGAGCTCACTTTGTAGCCCAGGCTGGTCTCAAACTCCCAATGATCTTCCTTCCTCTGCCTCCCAAGTGCTGGGATTACAGGCGTGCGCCACCAGATTCGGCTTTTTTATTTGTAAATTAAATTAAATTTTTTTATTTTATGGAAAAAATGTAAAACAAAATTTCATAACAAAATACTAGGAAAATAGCAATAGTTAATATATTACATGTTGTTATCTTTAAGGTAATTGCTCAGGGTACAAGATATGAGCATAAAAATTTCTCCAATCACTATTAACCCAAACCTTCCTTTTTAATGAACTAGGACACACTAATGGTATAACTGACTTACATTTTTCCCCTTTTCCCTACTGTTCTTTCCCCTTTCACCTATCCTAGTTCCTTTTTTCTTTCTGCACAATTTCTTCCCATTTCACAATTATCTATCTACATTTTAGACTTTATTTACTCTTTCAGTTTTTCACACCAGGGAGACAATAAAAATGTTTACACATGTGAATCTAATTAATTTCACTTATGAGTGTGGTCTCAAGTTGCATCCTTTTACCTATAAAAGTCTCAAAGTACTCCACTGTATAAAAATACCACATTTTTTATCCATTACTAGGTCGATGCATATTTGGGTTGTTTTCAAGATTTAGCTATTACAAATTATGCTGCTATAAACATTGGTGCACATATATTGCTGTAAACACTAGATTTTAAAGTACAGAATTCCTACACACAAAATTTTCCTGTGTAATGGTGACATTAAGATACCACTACATAATTGATCATTAACTGTTCCTTTCAGTAAAGTGATAGAAGTTAGTAGTACAACTATGTTAGCTATCCTGTATATACATATATACATAATTTCCTCAATTATTTGATCAATCTCACATGTCTCTGTTTGTTTTCCTGAGAAACCACTTTGAAGATGTCAGTATGTAATACAGCAACCATTGTTAATTTCCTACGAATTTTTCTGTAATTCAGTATTGTTTGTATTGTTCTTATGCTATTTTGTAAATGGATGCCGTTTGTTAATATGTTTTCCTTCTTTTATTTTTAAAATAAATTAAAAAATAAAGATGACACTAAATAATAAGTTGCTTAGGAACTGGAACAAGAGAGATCCCAAACAAAAATGTAACTACTTAACTGTACCTCTCCTCCGGCAGTGAGAACTGGAGGGCTTGCTAGTCTCTCTGTTATATTTGTCAATATATTCCTCACCAGCATTAATACTCAATGATAGAGTAAACGGAGTCAGCAAATGTGGACCCTGACGTTCAAAGAGAAAATCATTGAGACAGGTATGTGAATAGAATTGTTCTGCCTTTTCTGCAATTGACTATTTTTCATGATAATTACTCTAATATTTGTGAGATGTAGTTAATATTAAGGTAATTTGATGAAAATAAATGCATGAGGGGCTGGGGATTTAGCTCAGCGGCAAAGCGCCTGCCTGGCAAGCGCAAGG